CAGAAAGTTTGTGAGACTCTTACCTTCAATTAATCACCAGGAAACCAGAAGTGGAGCTATGGCTCAAAGTGGTAGAGGACTAGCCACTAGCCTTGAGAGAAAGACCTCAGGGACCCTGCCCAGGGCCCCTGAGTTCAAGCTCCATGACTGACTACATACAGGTATGATTAGAAAAGCCTGTTTTACTGGATAAAAATGACTTCTATCAGTTTATCAGTATATAGCTTCAACAATCCTGGCCTGTTTCTATTACCATTGCAGTATCATATTATTGAGCTAGAGGTCTTTTAAACAAAAGACCTCAGCTTGTTTGTTCTGTTTTTTTGTGGTGCTGGAGAAGGCAGGGGTCTGCACATGCTAGGAAAGCACTCTATCACTGAGCTATATCCCCACTCCTTTTACTTTTTTTGTGTTGATAACAGAGCCTAAACTCAGGGCCTAGACATGGTCCTTTAGCTTGTTTGCCCAAAGTTAGTGCTCTATCACTTGAGCCACAGCTCCACTTCAGGCATTTTGGTAGTTAATTGGGGATAGGAGTTTCACTGTCTTTTTTGCTCAGGGTGTCTTTTAATCATGATCTTCAGGTCTCAGCCTCCTGAGTAGCTAGCATTACAAGCATGCACCATCACCTAGAACTAATATTTTGAACTTTGTTTCACTACCCACCATCCAAAGTCCCTTTCTTTACCCTCTCCTGTAAATCAACTGAAATAGTTATCACTATTTTACATTCCGATGGACATGTTCTAGCTTCCACCCATAACAGAATATGTGGTATTAATTTTTCTGTGTCTGACTTGTCACTTAGTTAAATGTTTTCCACTTCCATCCATTTTGTTGCAAATAGTATTTTTCTTTTTTATGGCTGAATATCATTCCATTGTATTACAAATAGCCTAATCCATCCAATGTCTGTTGATGGATATTTAAGTTGATTCCTTAGGTAAGGGAGTAGAACATAATTCTTCCAACAGGAAGAATGGTGGCTTGTGATTTTATCACGCTACCCTCAATTTTTAATTTAAGTGAAGGTCCTTGATTCCACTTAGTTGGCAATAGAGATTACATTTCCATCGCTTAAACTATGGGACTGAAGTCCAAATGTATTTGTCTACTAATCTTAAGAAATTATTTATGGAAAAAAAACCACAACAAAATCTGCTTAAAAAGTTTCCAAAATATACAAAATTTACACATTATTCAGAATTTATTCATACTAAATATTATGGATTTTTTATTTCTATCCATGATTAAATGGATGGCCATTCAGAGCTGAACATCACAGCATTAATATAGGAAATCCAGAAGGTGAGATTCAGCATTTCTGGTTTATTGTATGACCTGAGAAGTGGTCAAATTATATTTCTAAATTATTCTGTAAGGAAACTATGTGCAAATTTAAAATTATATTGCATTCTGCTCATGAAGTACTTTATTGAAAAGGTTCAGGAGACCAGATAAAGCCTTTATAAGAGATTTAGAAAGTCTTAAAGATAACAATTAAGCAATATTTTAAACTAAGTAGTTTGTCTGAAATAAGGGAACACCAAAAAAGAAAAAATAAATTACTTTGGAATATGGTTGAGTATATAACATAAACACCTGGTATATCTACTTCTTTCTGACTTGAAATAGAAAAGAATATGGAAGGGAAAAGGTCATTTAGTTTTCTGGGAAATTATTATATAAGCTCTGTTTAAGAAGACATTAAGAACAGAATTCTTTGCATGTATTTGTGATATCAATGACTATCAATAAAATGAAACCCCCTTGTACAACTAGTTGATGTCAACAAAAAAAATAAATGTCTAGTCAGGTACTTGTGGCTCATGTCTATAATCCTAGCTACTCAGGAGGCTCAGCTCTAAGAATCACAGTTCAAAGCCAGCCTGGGCAGGAAAATCCATGAAATTCTTATCTCCAGTTAACCACCAAAAAGAAGCCAGAAGTGCTGCTGTGCTCATGTGGTAGAGCACCAGCCTTGGGCACAAAAGCTCAGAGACAGCATTCAGACTAGCGCCCGTGAATGCACGCGCGCGCGCGCACACACACACACACACACACACACACACACACACTCACACTATCAAATAATGAAACAGCAGGAAAATACACCCTTAAAGACATCTAATGTTCAAGTTACAAATTTCCCCAGAATGTGTACAAGTAGGCTTAAAACACATGAAAAGGAAGCCAAACATTAAGTAATAAAAAATCACATGAATGATAAGGATGCCAGTTGATATTTCATATCTACTTTAAGTCTTATTATATATACATCAAATTAACTCTATTATAATATTAACTAGGACTCTTGAAATAACATGATATTACAAGAATGAATGCATTAAAGATTTCTAAATGATCATGAACTTCTTTTTCTATGGTACAAGACAAAAAACAAATAATGAATTCAAACATCTCAGTTATCTTGGTGTAAACATTATTATTGAGTCTAAAAAAATCAAAGTCATTCCATTTGGCTACACTGACATGTTATTGATAAAGTGATTAAGCTATAGTAAAGATCACAGAGATAATTTTATCATGGTAGAAACAAGTGAGAAAAATGGAGGCCTTAACAACTTTACAAGAAGAAAAAAGAATTGGCTACTCTGCTTAAAATACTCTTATATATCACCTCTATGTCTTACTAGTTATAAAGTAAAATTATCAAACATCAAATGGAAAAAAATCAATAATGGCAAAAAGAAAATTTACAGGGTGGGACAAAATATATGAATAGGAGAAAATATTTTCAAACCATATATCTCACAAGGGATTGATACCCAGAATATTCAAAGACGTCCAAAACTCCAAGTAAGTAATAATATGAAAATCATCTGAATACAAAATTTTCCCAAAAAAAAGGAATAAAAATGGACAAGTAGGAGTTGGAGGCATGGCTCTGCTGGCAGAGCACCAAGCCAATGTATGAAATTGTCAGATACCAAGTTCAAGTCCTGGTCCTGGACCTAAAAAAACCAGGAAAATGGACAAGTATATGAAAAATATTCAACATGACAAGCCAACAGGGAATTGCAAATCAAAACGATAATGCTGTATCATCTCACCTGTTGAAATATTATTTAGAAACACAAAAAATGACAATTGCTGATAAGAATGGGGAGGAAAAAGAACTCTTAAACTGTAGGTAGGACTGCAAATCCGTACAGCCTAAGAAAACAGTATGAAGATTTGTGAAAAATAATTAAATAAAACTATTACATGATCCAGAAATCCTCTTCCTAGATAAATAACCAAAGGAAATGAAATTAGTATGTTAAAAGAGATATTTGCATGACCTTGTTTATTGCAGCATTATTCACCATAGCCAAGAGAAGGAAACAAAGTGTCATTGAACTGATGAATAGATTTTCTTAAGTGTGGCACATAGACACACTGGAACATATTTGACATAAAAAAGAATGAACTCTGGACATTTTCAACAACATGGTTGGTAAGTCAGGAATAGAAATACGAGTAATGTATAATCTGATTCATAGGTGAAATCTAAAAACAACTTCAAGTAATACTAGCAGAGAGTAAAATAATTTGCAAAGTTTTGGAAGAATAGGTTAAAGAAAGGATGAAGAAAGGATGGGATTAGATAATGGTGGCTCATGCCTGTAATCTAACTACCTAGGAGGCTGACATGTGAAGGCTGCCATTTTAAGCCAGCCTGAGAGATAATTTCTAGAGACTTATCTCCTATTAAGCAGCAAAAAGACTGATAGCAGAACTATGGCTCAAGTGGTAGATCACCAACCTTAAGTGAAAAAGAGTGAGAGACCAGTCTGGGAAACTGGCTTAGTGGTAGAGTGCTTGCCTTGCATGTATGAGGGCCTGAGTTCGATCCTTAGTACCACATGAACAGAAAAAGCTGGAAGTAGTACTGTGATTGAAGAAAATTAGCCTTGAGTGCAAAAGCTTATAGACAATGCCCAGGCCCAGAGTTCAAGCCTCAAAATCAAACAAACAAACAAACAAAAAATGGTGTCTTCCTCCTGCCATTTGAAGACACTCAGAAAGAGCTATCTAGAAAGAATGGGCCTTCATTAGAAGGTTTGAACTCAGAATTTGCTGGCACCATAATCTTGGACTTCCCAGACTCCAAAATTATAGAAAGAAAATCTTATTAGTCCACCTATTTTGTTATTGTCGCCTTAAGAAACTTACAGAAAATAAAAAGCAATTGAAGGCTGGAAAGGAGGCTCAGTGGTAGAGTGCTTTGCCTTACATGCATAAGGCCCTGGGTTCAATTTCTCAGCACTACAAAAGCAGAAAAAGCCGGAAGTGGTGCTGTGACTCAAGTGGTAGGGTGCTAGCCTTGAGCAGAAGAGCTGAGGGACAGCGCCCAGGCCCAGAGTTCAGGCCCACGACCAGCAAAAAAAAAAAAAAAGCAATTGAAGAGTTAAGAGAACACACTGCTGGGTGTTGGTGGCTCATACCGATAATCCTAACTACTCAGGAGTCTGAGATTTGAGGATCACAATTCAAAACCAGCCTGGGCAAGAAAGTCCATGAGATTCTTATCTCCAATTAGTTATCAAAAAGCTTGAAGTAGAACTGTGACTCAAGTGGCAGAGTGCCTAGGGCAAAGAAGGTCAGGGACAGAGCCCAGGTCAGGTTTTAAAGCCCCAGGATCAGCATAAAGAAAGGTAGGGAGGAGAAGCAAAAAAGAAGAAGAAAATACACTTTGTGGAAATAATTTTTCAATAAATTTAAGGAAGGTTATAGAAAGAATTGGAATGTGATAGAAATGCCTTTGTTGTAGAACCAAAAAATGATGTCTGGGAAGATTTAGTTACCCACAGAAATCTGAGGCAAGAGGAAGGCATGTAATAAATTACTGTATGGCCATATGCTGTATGGCTAAGTACTGTGAAAAAAAATTTAAACTTGTTAAAATTCTATAAATAATCTTACAACCCAACAGTGGCCCCATCTACTCACACCCCAAACACAAAATATAAATAATCTAACTCCACAGTGCTTACAGGTGCCTTTCATGCATGTCATCGTTGAAGAACATAACTCAATGACCCGGACAGCAGAAGTTCCTGCATCCTCTGCTGGTGGTACTGTCAGAATGGAAATCTAAAAAGACAAATAAAATACCAAACATAACTGTTAGGTTTTATTTTATCATTATTCTGTTGTTTGCTAACTTCAAAGCATTCTTTGATATTTGAAAAAAAGTTGGCTAATAAGCATTTAATTTTAGAATAAACATTTTATTTTATTTTATTGTTTGTTGTGGGGCTTGAACTCATGGCCTGGCCCTGAAACTTGTAACATGTCCTGGATGTGTGTTGATATTCAATTTCTGCATTATTTGTTTCTTGTATCACATATGTAGTTTATATATTTCCATCAACAATAAATAAATATAACAGAATCTTCACTTACTATTTTCAATGGTTCAATAATAACTTATTATTTCTGAAATATACATACTTTGGTGTTTGACATCAACTATATTAATTCAATTTTGATTATTCATAATGACTACAAATGGGTGATATAAAGTACTGAATCCGAAGACATAAGAATATGCAAAAGTGAACTGAAATTTTTTATATAACGAAGAATTTCATACTAACTGAATCAGAACCAAAATGTAAAATTATTAAATATGATTCATTGATACTCAGAATGCTGCCTTGGGCACTACTGACTTTTATGATTAATTTTTAAAATATTTTAAGTGACGATCAGAAACATTTGACCATCATCATCAAAGGCTTCTCTGTAGAACTGAAGTTGAAATATTAATCCTCAATCTATTCTTCAATTTGAGGAAATTACATCTTCTTACACCAGAAATGGTTACTGAAAGGAAAGCCACAATATGTGCTTTTTCCTGGAAGTGCCATGTTTAGATTTTGAAAAGAAATGTCACACTGATAGTCCACAGAGGAAACATCTACAACAAATTCAAAATACTGAAATGATTTTGGTAACTATGACTATCTTATTGATACATATTTGGGGGCTCATGGTATCTCAAAAACTGGGTTTTTAATGTTTCTCTTAGCTCCCTCTTTCCTGGTCATGACAGAAAATGTATTTTAGAAATAACAAGACGTTACTTTAGAAATTAAGCAAAATTAAATGAATACAATTAAACACATGATCATAATTAGCAAAGAACATTTAAGGAACATATAAGAACTTCTTTTGATTACTGGAAATATTGTACTTTATTTAATAACCTCCTACCAGAGTAGCTCTCTTACCTGAACTGAAAAATTAACTGTCTAATGTCTCATAAAGACAATAAAAGCCATTAAAGGAGCATTCCTTCTGTTGTTTAATACCATATTCATAAAATTTATATGGACTTCATCTATTTTTTTTCTTTTCCCTAAATTTCATTGTTCTATGCTTTTCTTTTTTTTTTTTTGGGTCCGGTCGTGGGGCCTGAACTCTGGGCCTGGGCGCTGTCCCTCAGCTCTTCAGCTCAAGTCTAGCACTCTACCACGTGAGCCACAGCGCCACTTCTGGCTTTTTTCTTTTTGCTTATGTGGTGCTAAGGAATCGAACCCAGGGCCTCGAGCATGCAAGGCAAGCTCTCTACCACTGAGCCACCTTCCCAGTCCTGTTCTATGCTTTAAAATGAGAAAAAACAGAAGAGGAAAATTTCCTATAGGAAACAAGGAAAGACTTAACAAATACATATTTTAGACTGATTACTCTGATGACTTTGTGGAGGACAGGTCATAAAGATGAGTGTAGGTGACTGGGAGAAGGCAGATATAATAACAGAGGTAACTGGAACTATGAGAATAAGGCGTATAGAGGAAAAGTAGACTGAAACAACTTTTGGGAAGTACATTGAGGGGAACTGAAAACAGATTAAATATTAGAAAAAAAGAAAATGAAAATGCTATTATTGGAAGTATATTGAACCGGTACCAATAGCTCACACCTCTAATCTTTTTTTTTGTTGTTGTTTTTCTTGTTGTTGTTTTTAATGTACTATGTAATTTCTTGTTTCTTTTGTATTTTCCCCCCGGTGGTTTAGCCCCTGTTGTCACTGTATTTGGTACCCTGGGTATTGTATATACATTTATCTAAATTAGGGAAGGGAAGGAGAACAACAAAATGGTGAGACAAAGGACAAAGGGGGAACCACTGCAATGGTGACACTCACAAGACAGTATGTTGGAAATGACCTCTACAACCTGTGGGGGGTGCAGGGGAGGGAAATTGGGAGAAAAGTGGGGGAGGGGGTAACAAGTTTGACAAGAAATGTACTCACTATCTTGCTTATGTAACTGTAACCCCTCTGTACATCACTTTGGCAATACAATTTTAAATTTTTAAAGAAGATTATTTGTTTAGCAGAAAAAATATGGCTTTTGGAAATTTTTTTTTCCTTTTTTTTATTGTAAAGATACTATACAGAGGGTTACAGATACATGAGTGAGGTAATGAGTACACTTCCTCTTGAACATTGTTAGCCCCTCCATTGTTTTCCCCCTACCATCCCCTCCCTCCCTCCCTTCCCCGAAG